GCAACTAATTTTTTAAAATATACACACACACCCCATGCAATATTTGAGACATATTTACACTAAAAAAGCCACATCACTGGCAAGGTTTTCTTGGGACATTGTTCTCTGTTGTCTGTAGTTGGCCCAAGTGGAGGAACAGATAGGAGCCAGGATACAAACCTAATGTTCACCCCAGAGTCTCTTAACTGTTGCTTCTTGGCCTCTGGCCTTGGCCAGGACACTTCTCTGTGTCTCGCACTGCCCAGAACTACTGGAAGAAACTGTGGTGACTCTGACTGACTGAGTGAGGTTGTGGCCAGCCTGGGGCCTGTGGGGTGTGAATAGAGGGGCCTGGGCACCAATCCTCAGCATTTCCTGCTCACGTTTCCCTGAGCGTCTGCAGACTTTACCCAAGGGAACCAGTCCTCCAAGCTCTCCTGCTCTGGAGCCTCCTTCAGAGGGGAGTGGCCCTGAAGAGTGGTCCTCTGTGTGTGCATGAAGCCACCAACGGCCATCCCACAATGGCAGACCGGGGAAGCCTCAAGGGGTGTGGTTAGGGGGGCCCTGGGGACTCCGAGTCAGAGATTCTAATCCAGGCCTTTGCGCTCCCGCCTGTAAATCCCAGCTCCACTCACTGAAATGGCGTTTACTCTCCTCATATTTTCCCATTTCGCATTTCAGCCAGGCAGCCTCAGAAGTTGCTCAAAGCACCTCTTTGCATGCTGTGGTGCACGACTAAGCACGTGATGGGCCTGTGCTGTGGAGGTGCCGAGAGAAACCGTTCCCCCCGGAGTGGACTGGGCCAGAGCCAGGAGCTGGGAGCTATCGGTGAAAGCAAATTGGGAAGATAACCAGAGCTTAGAGGAGCTTTCTGGCTTCTTCCTGAAGGTTCCTGGGCCCTAAGAGTGACGTGGGCCTGGAGGGATTGAGGGCAGGGAAATGGTGTCTCAGTAGTAAATAGTACAGACAGATCAACAACAATACCGGCAACGTTGGTTTCGGGCTCCGTGCCTGGCACCGTTCTCCACGCCTTAGTCATCACTGCATCCTCACGGCAGCCGCTCCTGTCTCCCCATGAGAAGGTGGAGGGACCTCCCCCCAGAAGGTCTTCTCTGAAGCCTCGGCTTCTCTCAGACCCTGGGTGAGAGGTAAACTGGGGGTAAACTGATTCAAGCCAGAGGAGATGGGGACTTGAACATGAATGGGAGTCAATTTAAGAAAGAAACCACGATATTCTGAAATTCCAGCTCCCCATACACATTCGCTAGGGACACGGGGACACGGGGACACGCGTTCTTTGGCCTCGGCTTTGCCCAGCCTGACAGGCAGGGAGACCCTCTGGCAGCAGAACCGCTTCTCACGCCTCCCAGGGGAGTGGCTGGGAGGGGCTCTGCCTGACTTAGCCCTTAGCATCCTCCCGGCCAGCCCCTTGCTGGGGACAGGGTGACCCCTGCTTTCTCTGCGAGCACCAGGTGCGGCCGGGTGCCCAAAGCTGCGTCTCCCCGGAAGGGCTCCGCCACAGCATCTGTAAGACCACTAGGGGCAATGTCAGCCTGCGGTTTCTAGGGCCAGCCTCCGATCCCTGCCTGAGAATCTCCCGCTCTCCAAAACCTGCCGACTCTGATAGAAATGCTGCAGATTTCTCACCCAGTGGGTCTGGGGCAGAGCTCCAGGAACCTGTATTTTGGAAAGCAGCTCCAGTTGGTTCTGATGAGCGGTGGGTTTGGGAGAGACTGATCAAGCCCGCCTTCTACCTGGTCAGGCTTCCTCCCAGCCCCTCCCCAGCCCCAGCGTCCTGACTGCGGGTCATCCAGCCTCAGCTTGAACACTTCCCACGTCAGGGAGCTCATTGCTTCTTGGGCTCTCTGTCATATGTTCTGAATGCTCAAAAGTTCTTTCTTATGCTGAGTCAGAGGCTAGCCTCCCACTGTATCTCTGACCCACATGCCCCCCCGCAGGGCCCAGCTGCACCCACATTTCCACAGCGCCTCTCCCCCTGCCAGGATCCTGGCCAGTCACCGCCTTGTGCACAAGACTCCCAGACTGCCCCCAGGTGCCTGTTCACTGGACATGTCTGTTGACCTCCCATAAAATACACACTCAGCCAAATCTGAACCTTACCTCCAAAAGGTCTGGCCTGCCCTCCCCCTGTGCAGACACCGCCCTTTCAGTGAGGTGTATTTAGGCCAAAAAGCTCATACAACAAAAGAAAAAGTTAAACACAGAATAGTCCCAACCTCACTCCCATACCAGTCTCGTTCCCAGTTTCTTTGGCTTATTTTTATTTATTTTTTAAAAAGATTTTAAAAAAATTATTTATTAGAGAGTGAGAGGGAGCGAGAGAAAGCATGAGCAGTGGGGAGGGACAGAGGGAGAGGGAGAAGCAGGCTCCCCGCCGAGCAGGGAGCCCAATGCCAGGCTCGATCCCAGGACCCTGGGATCATGACCTGAGCCAAAGGCAGACACTTAACTGACTGAGCCACCCAGGCGCCCTTGCTTTGGCTTATTTTTTAAAAAATCACTTCAACATTTTTATTTAGTTGCAACCAGATTATGTGTATTGCTTTATGCTCCGCCATGTTCAGAAAGCACCATTTTCTCACACCTCTGCACAGACTTCCTGCTTGTCATTGTCATGCCCACACAGCATGGCATCCTGTGGCCTGCGTTCCAAGCCCCAACTCCTGCCAGGCACCGCTCCTCACCAACTGCTGATCACGTTCCGACGTGCCGGGCCCTTTGTCTGTTCTCTTGTTTTATCTTTCAGCCCCTGCACTCCTAACCACGCTGCATCCCTGCCCCTTGGGGCAGTGATAGGCTGTCGCACACCTAATGATACTGTACATGGGGGACCACAGAACAGTTATTTTAGATGTTACCTGTTAGATCATCCTTTGCCAATAACCACTGTTTATTGAGCTAGGGCTACCATGAACCAGCCCCGGGCTGGGCATCTGGCATACATTACGCCAGGCAATTCTCAAGGCAACCCATGAGAAAGCCGTACAAAGCTCCATATTACAGATGAGCAAATGAGGCTCAGAGAGGTTCAGCAAGTTCTCCGAGATTGCACAGCCATGACAAGATAGAGCAGGGGTTGAGACTCAGATCTGTATGACTTCTAAGCCTATGCTTAAGCCACTGTCTTCCATTTCAGGAAACGTGGTCTGGCTCACTGTGTATTTGAGCCCTTGTGAAAATGAGCTTCAATATAATAGAGCTGCAGCAAACCTTGCTGCATTTGTCCTTCCCCATGCCAGGCTCAGAGACATGCTTTTTCTCTCCTATGATGTGTGAAAGACATGCCTTTTCAACCCACTGTGCAACCTGAGCAACTGAGGCACAGACATAGGCCACAGGCCAGGGAGGGATGGGGGACCACAACCCACACCTCACGGTGGCAGGGGGCAAGTGGGAGGCCACGGAGAATGAGGTCCTCGGAGGGAGAACGCCCACAGCGGGCAGGTCCATTTGCAGTTCAGCTCCCGTGAACCTCTGGCCCCTGAGCCAGCCCATCTCAGTGCCTTGTTCAGGAATACCTTTGGCCCAGGCTGCGCCGTGGGCCCGGCTCACGCAGCCCTCTTCCCCGACCTCTCCTGACCATGCCTGCCCGAGGCAATCACGTGCTCCTCCCAACTCTTCTGCAATTATAATTTCAATAATTCATTTGGCAATTAATCATATCCTGCCTTGTGACATCTCTCCTATTCCATGTTGAGCTGTTATTTAGAAGTGCAATTGTTTAACTTCCCAGGAGCAGCATATGCAGCCTTGCTAATATAGTTGGGGTTTTTGTTGTTTATTTCCTGGCAGTCAATCAAACCAGGAGGAGAAGTTTGAGGCCCATGCTGGGGGGTGGCCAGGGAGGCTCGCTGAAAGGGCAACAGGAGCCGAGGGTCAGGGGACCTACCGACCACAGCTTCTTGGACAGTCAGCCCATCACAGTCCTCAGCCTCCTTCCCTCCGGGCTCCCCGCTTACGAAACAGCTCCGCATACAGCCAGTCCCAGGAATTTTCCATGCATTTGTACCATCTCCTTGACTGCAGTACATTTCCTGTGGGCAGGGACCATTCATTCTATTTTCACCGAGACTGCTTAACAAGATGTGACAAACTCTGAAATTAGAGAGAACGGTCCCAGACTGGCCTCTTGGCTCTGCTGCCTCCTAGCTGTCAGCCTGGGGAAGCCATGTCACTTCTTGGCCTCCGACCCCTCGTCGCTAAAACGGGGTTCAAATGCCTCTCTCATGAGACTTGACATGGGAATCACGAAGCAAACACATGGACACTCTTGGTGTATTCTGGGCGCCTCACAGACATCAACCCCTTTATCTTCACAAAAACTCTTTGAAGTAGATTCTTTCATTATTTCCATTTTACACAGAGATGCAGGGGTGAGGAGCAGAAGCCTGGAGGGGGTGCTCTGGGGATCACAGGGGAGGCCCCCCAGGAATAACCACGAAGGCATGAGTTCATGCCTGCAGGTATCTGGGGGTGGATGAGGGAGCGCAGTGGTTGGAAAGAGCAGTGGATGGGAGCAGGGACCGGTGGGTCGTCTCTGAATGTTCCCCAGCAGTTTCCAGGCTTCAGGTCTGACACGGACACTGAAGAGGGGTAGTGTTCCAAGCTTAAGTGAACTCCAAGATCCATGAATTTGCTGAGATGAACTTGACCAGGGAAGAGAGGAGCAAAGGTCTGGGGAGAGTGAAAACAAAGGAAATGTGGCTGGAGATGGTTCTTTGGAGCTCATTGTTTTTTGAACCCCACATCCTCCCAAAGCCAAGGAATGAAAGGGGCACTGTGATATAAGGCAGGCCTGGAAAGGAGCCATCACTCTGAGGTAATGGGGTGTGGGAGCTGCATGAGCAAGAAGAAGGTCATCTTTTTTTTTTTTTTTTTTTGAGAGGGAGAGAAAGAACAGGGGGAGGGGCAGAGAGAGAGGGAGAGAGAATCTCAAGGAGGCTTCACACCCAGTGTGGAGCCTGACACTGGGCTCAGTCTCACACCCCTGAGATCATGACCTGAGCTGAAAATCCAGAGTTGGATGCTTAACCGACTGAGCCACCCAAGTGCCCCAAGGAGGTCGTCTTTTGCCTGCAAAAGACCCCATTGCTTTTAGATGCTCTCCTAGGACCGAGACCAGCTTGGGAGCTGTGCCCGCATCTTTGCTCTACCCTCAAGATTGGAAGTGCTGCATTTTCCCCTCCCCAGATGCAGCAACCTAACCAGAAAAGCACCACCTGCCAGGTACTAGACAGCAGCAGATGGGCTCTCAGAGGAGGAAGAGAAGGGGTTAAAAGGAGGAGAGTGCCTGAGGGAGAGGAAGAGGGGAGAGAAGAGGGCCTAAGGGGAGGGGTTAGGGAGAGGATGGGGGGGGAGGCAAGGTGGGGGAAGGTGGGGGAAGGAGAGGGAGAGGGTGTAGGGAGAGGTTGTGGGGGGTAAGGGGGTGGTGAGAGGACCTGGGGGAGGTGGGGAGGAGAAGGAAGGGAGCTATGGAGTTAAAGAGAGGAGGAAAACACAACCCCTTGTCTTCTGGGGGCTTACAGTCAGGTGGGTGTGGGTGAAGCTCAAGCATCTTCAGCCAGCCTCTGGAAGAAAACAACACACAACCTGGGGCCCCCAGGGGTTGAGAAGCATTTTAACAAGTAGGCAGGATCTGGAGAGGCCACGAGGCTGGAACCAGGAGGGAAGTGAGGGGGACTGCATGTGTTTAGAGCCTCTTGCCTCATGTGATCTTCCAAGAGAGAGCCGGCTCCTGTCCCACATGGTCCAGCCTCAGGGAGGGGCACTGAGCACCAGCACCCCCACCAGCAGCTGCGCTCACCGCCCCCCCCAGGTCAAGAGTCACTGCCTCCCTGAAGACGAGCTGTTCTCAGGGCTCTTCTCCTGACTGGCGGATGACCCCGGAAACTTGCAGATCTTTCCTGTGCCTGTCTCCACCTAACTGGAAGGCTATGGTGGAGACTGCATGAGATGGTAAGTGGGGAATGCTTTATAAACGGAAACCTTGATGCCCCCACTTGCGGCTCTTAGCAGACGTTCTGCATCTGCCCTGTGTCCCCCTCCCCCATGAGCATCTCTAGCCTGGACCTACTCGCCATCTCCACTTGGATGTGCGGCACTCATCTTTCCTTCTTCTCTTTCTTGAGTACAGTGGACACGCGATGTTACATTCATTTCAGCTGTACGATCAGCCTGGTGATGTGACAAGTGTATACATCACTCTAGGCTCGCCACACGTGTAGCTCCCATCTGTCCCCGGACAGCGCTATCTCAACCCCATTGTACTCCTGATGCTGTGCCTCTCCTTCCCATGACTTGTTCATTCCAGAACAGGAAGCCGGTACCTCCGCTCCCCTCACCCACCTTTCCGGCAACTACCAGTTAGTTCTCCATATTTATAGGTTAGCTCTGCTTCCAACAGGCATCATCAGGGACTTCAAAACTAACCCCCTAACACCGTCTTCTAAACCTGCCCTACCTTCTAGTTGCCAAGGCCAAATCCATGGAAATGTCACTGACTCTTTTTTTTTTTTTTGCACATCCCCCGCCCCCGCATCTGAGCCACCAGCAAATCCTATTGGCTCCTGCCTTCAAAATACATCCAGAATCCAACTGCCACTGCCCCTGTGGCCTGGGCTGCCTCTGGCTCTGCCCTAGGCCCCTGGCTTAGCTGTCCCCCCGCCCCCCGCCCCAGCCCCGCTTGCCTCCTCGCATGTATTCTGTGCAAACACACACCAGGGCATGAGCAGAACAGTCCACTGGCCCCGCTGCACTCGGGGTGCCAGCCAGTCATTCCAGCAGAGCACAGGCCTGCAGGCTTGGGCCCCTCGTCTCCCCCGTCCCTCACCTCCTCCTCCTCAGCGGCAGGCACGCGGGTCTCCCTGCTCTGCCTCAGGTCCGGCACGCACCGCCACCTCGGGCCTTTGCTCGAGCCCGTCACTCTTTCTGGAAAGCTCTGCCCCAGACACCTGCATGGCTCAGAGTTTTCACCTCCAGATGACATTTGTCCCCACCCCAGGAGGCTGCACCCTCTCTGCTTTAGTTTTCCTCAGAATGCTTAGCACTTCTAATGGATTATATAACTTATTTATTGTCCCCTCTCCACCTCCTCCATCCCATAAATGCTTAAGAATTTTGTCTGCTTCTCTCTCCTCCCCCCTCCGCCCCCTGCCATATCCCTGGTTTTTATTTATTTATTTATTTATTTAAAGATTTTATTTATTTATTTGGCAGAGAGAGACACAGCGAGACAGGGAACACAAGTAGGGGGAGTGGGAGAGGGAGAAGCAGGCTTCCGCCGAGCAGGGAGCCCGATGTGGGACTCGATCCCAGGACCCCGGGATCATGACCTGAGCCGAAGGCAGAGCTTAACGACTGAGCCACCCAGGCGCCCCTATCCCTGGTTTTTAGAACAGTATCTGGAACGTAGGAGGCATTCGGGACATGCTTGAATGAATGAATGAATGAATGACGAGTGGTTGACTGCGCTCCCCCACCCCCAACCCCAGCCATGCTGGGGGGGAAGTGAAGACACTGCAGTCCTGGGGTTGGAGGGCAGGTTGGCTACATTAAAAGTCCCGCTTGCTGCTACTAAAACCCTGAGGTCTTTCTATCTCGTTCTTTATCAAAAAGACACATCTCTCCCCTTCCAGCACAATCAGTTCAAAATCAGTAAAATAGAGCGTCTCTCTTCCTGTCGGTAAGAGCCTCGCTCCTTGGGCAGATGCTGGCCAGGCTGACTGTCCGTTGCGGTGGGAGGGGTCTGCACCCTTGGTTGAGGCTGGAGGTTTAGGAGACGGGGATGTTGTCCTGTTCCGGTGGGAGCACAGAGTAGAGATGTCTGCCCCTCTGGCAGCGCCGACCTCAGCTGCTGGGACTGAATGCAGGGGTGTTGAGAGGGGGGCTCCAGGGAGTAAGCGGAGACCGGCTGCAGAATGGGCCTCATGGGATGGCTCGGGGCGGGGGGGGGCAGGTGTGAGGAGGTGAGAAGGGGGACACTGAGATGTCTCCCCCACACAGGTAAAGCAGTGATAAATTGGGGCCATCTGTGCTGTTGTTAGACATTCTAAGTTGAGAGCCAGACTCCCAGAACAAAGAAAACAGCTCTTCAAAGAGACAGGGAGGGAGGGAGGGAGAGAGAAAAACACAAACACAGCGGCCAGCATCCCGCTCACACACACACGCCCCTCATCTAATCATAAAAACATATTCCAAACAGGTTCCAGAGCTGTCCTTGGGAGGGATGTTTGAAATATATATATAGATAGATAGATATAGATCCCTGAAATTCTAACTGTCAGATCTCTCTGGAAATGGCTCTGCTTGAACAGATTTTCCTGGACCTTCATTTCATGAATGTTGAAAACAGAATTTTTATAAGACGAAGCCAAACAGAACTGGTGACAATTGTGCTTGGAGGCCCTTCCCTGTTTTCTCTTCCTCCGTATCCCCACTCGCTCTCTCATGCCCCTGCCAGTTGCATTTCCCTCATTCCGCAGAGACCCCCATGGCTTCCGGAAGCTCCGAGGGCCTTTCTTTCATTATGCAGGGTCAGGAGCATGAGGAGGGCGGGAGACGGTGGGAACAGGCCCAACCTCAGGAGCAGGGGCCGAGGGGCTGCAATCGGGCAGCCCTGGTTCTTGCAGGGCTGCTGAGCTTGGCCTCTAGCCCTGTGGGGCCTCAGTCTTCTCAGTCCTATAATGGGAACGATGTGCCCACTGCACGGAGCTAGGGTGAGGATTTGAGGAGACAATGGATGTAAATGGGTGAGGGGGTCCTCGGGTCCTTGAGGAAGACTCTGAAGACTCTTTCCTCCCTGAGCTTGGAAGCAACCCCAGAAGGCTTCCCGGCCAGCCTTTTGTACCTGGGCCACAATCGCCTGGGATCACAGCTACTCCTTCTTAAAATTTCTGTTTCTCTCAATTTCTTGACAAATAAAAGGTGGGATTGGAGGCAGGTAAAAAAAAAAAAAGCATAGGGGGATGAGATGAAGGAGTTTGGGGCTGTTGACAGGGACGGAACAGATGGAAACAAATGTGTGTTAAGAGGTTCCTCTGTGTCAGACACTGAATGTGACATTTAACGAAATCTTACCCATCCCTCTGAACCTCCCTGCCAGGAAGTGGACACTCTTACCCTGTACTCCAGAAAGGAAAGCCAAGGCTCCGATTGGAAATAATTTTCCCAGAATGACAGAGCTAGGGTTCAGTTCAGATCTGTCTCTTCTTGGTCCTGCTCCCACTGAGCTGGAAGGTCATCGACACACTTGTCTTCCACTGACTGCTGTGTGACCTCAGGCCTATGGCCTTATGTCTCTGGGCTTTCTCCCCCCACACCTGTAAAGCAAGAGGGGTGGACCAGAGGACCCCAGTGTAAGGCTTCATTATGGGGCAGATTGTGTATTGTCAAGATATTCCCAGTCCATCCCTGAGGGCAGGTTATGACTTCTGCTCCACCACGGCAGGCTTGCCCTGGTGACTTGCTTTCTCAGTGAAATCTAGTGGAAGTGATGTGTGCTGGGTCCAAGCAGAAGCCCGAAGAGCCACTGCAGGCTCCCACCATTGCCCCTTCGTTGGCCAGGTGGGGCTGCTCTCTGTCAGCCTGGGTCCTGGCATGGAGCGGATGTGGAACGGAGCTCCACAGACCCACCATGAACGTCAGTGTGAGCAAGACAGGACTCCTGGCTGTTTGTTGTAAACCACTAAGATTTGGGTCATTTGTTATTGACGATGGACTTAGCTTGAACTGACAGATACAACGAGGAAAGGTGCAGGCGGGGAGGGGACTGATTCTGCCCCTCCCTGAAAAACCAGGGCACAGGAAGGGCCTGGGAGTTCCCCTGAGGTGTAAATGGCTCACTGACTTAACTGAACTCCTACCCATCTTCCAGAACAGGTGTGTAAAGAATCTGGGGTTGGCGAGGGATGCTAATGTCCTGGGAGCAATGGAGCTGCCTGGCGAGAGTGTTGACATCCACCCCTCCGGTAAGAAAAGAGGAGAGAAGTAGGCAAGAGATCCAAACTACAGAGGATGCTGCCAGATGGTTCTTCTGTTTCTAACAGGAAACAATGCTTTCAGGGCAGCAGAGACTCGTGCAGCTGATTTAGGGCAGCCCCCTTACTTCACAGGTGAAGAACTTGAGGGTCTGGGGGGTTCAAGGACTTGTATGGGGGTCGCCTCACCTGCCAGCGAGGGTCGGAGCTGAGACTTGCGCCCAGGCCCAAGGAGTGCTAGCCTGGGTTGGACCTTCTGGTTTCTTTTTAGATATTAACAGTAACAATTCTCCCAAAGGAAAGGGCAAGTCACTTGACTTGAAGGCTAGCAAGGAAGGTGGGAGCTGGGGACGGGGTTCCTCCAGCCCCCCGGGGAAAGCAAAGTCACGGGCAGATTAGGAAGACAGGCCACCACTTGCTCCAGCAGGTGAGCGTGAGGATTTGTCCTTGGAGGAGAAAGGACAGGACCCGGTGGGCCTAGTATGCACGGGCTTCGGATTGCCCACTTACCATATTTCATCTCCTGCAGATCCTGTGACACAAATGGAGGATTCCTGTTTATTATGTGAGTCACTCGAGGCTTAGGGAAGTGAAACAATGTGCAAGATCTCACGTGTAAGTGCTAGAGCTGGGCGTGGTACCACGTCATCATGACCTTGCTGAGGGAGGCGGTGGAGAGAGGATGGGGGTGGTGGGGTGGGGGGCACGGTTGTCGGACTCTCAGCCAGCAGCTTCCAGCCGGGGCCTCCTGGAGCTCACCTGGAAGGGCTCAAGCCTGTGGCCAGACGAGCCTGGGGTCCCTTTGTCATGTCAGCCTGCGTGGCGGGGTGGTGCCCCACCTCCCTTGCAGCAGCTAAGGGATGAGCCAGGTTGCCGGTGTGGTCTTGACTGTGTGGAAAGACCCATAGGACCCCTGGAGCCCCCAGGGGCCACCTGCTTGGGACAGACCCTAGATTACAGATCTGTCAGTACAGGGTTCTGGCAGGGAGGGGCCAGGCCAGGGGAGAGCTTGACGGAGCCTGGCTGTGGCCCAATGCACGTTTGTGGCTGGACATTTCCTCCCAACTAATAAACAAACAATCATTATTTTTCTCTGGCCAAATGGAAGCTAGTCTCAGAGCGCTCAGCAAGAGAGCAATAATAGTGGGTCATTGACAGACAGGGACAGCTTAATAGGTCACAGACCGATGCGGATCTGAGATTGATGAGGGCTGTGCTATCGATTATTGGAACCCCTTCCAGCCTTCCTGAGGGGCTCCCCACTCTGTTTTCTGTCCCGGGCAGGGCTCTGGTGCCTCCCCCAGCCATTAGCTGGGCAGTGGGGAGGGCTGGGCCCCGTTTGCCCTAATTCCGAGGGCAGAAAACATATTTGTAACACGAGGAACGTGATGACTCTCAAAAGTTCATGGCTTCAGCCACAAATCCTGGACACATAAGCCACGGTTCTATTTTCTTCTACAGCAGGGTAAAGACAGCACATTTCATCAAGATAGGAAACACTGACCCCAGATGTAGCACCCCCCACCCATTCTTATCTTGTAGTAACTGGAGCCCAGGGACCTTGCAGTACCCTCTTACCAGGAGGTGGGGCAGAAGGAAAGAGGGGACAGCTGCCCACCCCAGGCTGGCCCTGACAGAGCATGGAATGACAAAGCGACTGGGAACCAGGGAGGCCAGCCAGCAGGATCTACGTCCGTGGTGCCCTGGAATTTCGGTCAACCCCTACAATTGTGGATAAAATGTTGTACATGTGGTCCATAGCATTTATGAGATTTTCAAAGGGGTCAATGCAAGCTAAGTACCGGGACGCTGGCTACCCCTCCGCTTTGCTGATGTGAGTGGCAACTCCTGTTGGTGCTTATCTGCATAGCCAAGAGAGGGAACCCCTGAGTCTCACCTGCCACCTCCCTCTCTCTTCTCCCACGGCCCAGCGAGCAGCTGCTCACCTTGTTTTCTGAACTTGGGGCATCTCATGCTCAGCAAGGCAGCCCGTAGGGCCCCCATGCACGGGCCCGCCAGGCCATGACCTCCTGGCCCTCCTGGGGGAAAGAGCCCTGCCCCCCCATTCCCAGGCCCCAGCACATATAGGAAGGGAGAATGGGCCCTGTAAGACAGCTCCTGGGGCGCCTGGGTGGCTCAGTTGGTTAAGCGACTGCCTTCGGCTCAGGTCATGATCCTGGAGTCCCTGGATCGAGTCCCGCATCATATAAGTCCCTGCTTGGCAGGGAGTCTGCTTCTCCCTCCGACCCTCCCCCCTTTCATGCTCTCTCTCTCTCAGTCTCTCTCTCTCTCTCAAATAAATAAATAAAATCTTAAAAAAAAAAAAAAAGACAGCTCCTGAGTACCCACGTGACCTTTAGTTGAAGGGCCACAGGGGCCCCACACCCTCCGTGAGTGCCTAGCCTCCCTCATGCTGCGGACAGGCAGGGCCTCAGCAAGGTGGGCCGTGTGGCCTGCAGGCAGTGCTTCCGGATGAGGAAACGCCAGGGGCTCTGAGGATGCAGAGGGGGACTTAGCCTCTGCTCAGGCCTCCTTGGAGGAATAACCAGCATCTGCAGAAGGGAGGCACCAGGGTGTTTTGAGGGCCTGCACATGGTCCTGGGGGGAGAAGGAGGAGACAGAATTAGCCTGAGAGCTTGCAGCACCGTATTGAGAGGAAGAGTCCCAGCTGATGGCCTGGTGCGGCTGCCTCACGAGGAGCTGGTCTGCAGTGGAGGGGGGATGCCGGCAAAGGCCTGGGGGCTTTCACGATTCTGCAGTGCGAGGGGAAGGGAGGAGACCAGATGGTGTCCTCCCAAACCCTGTTCCCCTGGCTCTGCCCTCCCTGAGGGCTGTGGATGAGAGTCTGCAGCTGGTGCAGAAGCTGCTGTTTTCCCCAGAACCCCTGAGAGCAGGGGCAAAAGCATCCATAAAGACAAAGGACATCTCCCCGATGGCAGCGCCCTGTGGGGCAGGAGTGTCCAGTGGCCTGGCTTTGTCCCCCCCGGGGGAGAGTGGGAGAATGTGAGCAGGTGGTGCGAGTTTCAGGAGGTGTCTCGGGGGGCCTCCAACATGGACCTGGGCACGACTGTGTCAGAGGAAGGCTCTGGAGATGCTGTGATCACAGGCGGAGGCCTGGCCGGCAGACCCCACACAAGTGCAGGGGATGCAGGCTTGGGAGGCCTGGCTGCCAGGACACGCTAGTGCTTTCGAGCCTCACACCAGACAAGTCTATTAACTGGTCACTTGTTGTCTTTCGTCTGTGCTTCAGTACCAGCCATTAATGGTCATTAATAAATGATAAGGGTGGTTGAACTTCACAATTCTGACAGTTTGTACCAGGTCTAACTTCACAGTTTGGACAGTTGGACAACACTTCATTTGCAGACTCTAGTGAGTTAGACCCACAGGTCCTCCTGTCTCTACCTTGTCCTGCTGTGTGTGTGTGTGTGTGTTTTAAAGATTTATTTATTTTAAAGAGAGAGAGAGAGAATCTCTAGCAGACTCCCCGCTGAGTGCAGAGCCTGAGGCAGGATGCAGGGCTTGATCTCACAACCCTGAGATCATGACCCTGAGATCATGACCTAAGCTGAAATCTAGAGTCGGTTGCTTTTTTTTTTTTTTTAACTTTTTACGGTTGCTTAACTGATTGGGCCACCGAGGCGCCCCGTCTTGTGGTTCTTTGCCTGAAACTGTCATCATTAGAATCCTTGCCCCATCTCCTAGTCTTGTCCAAATTGCACAAAGAGTTTGCTCTACTCCAGAGTAGAACTTCTTCCTACCTACCTCGTTCCCAAACCCGAGGTCGGGTGTACAGTGTGAAAAACTCACCAAGAGGTCCAGAGTCTGGTCAAGGCTTTACAGTCCTTCCTTATGTCCAGTTCTTGCCTTGGGCTCTTGCCCTGATTCCTAGATACCACTGGATGCTCAGCAGGTGACCCGGTCTGTGATGCACCTGCTGTCCTGGCAGGGAAGCTGTGTCCAGCGTCAGTGCCTTGGGGTTTAGCCACAGCTGCCTCAGGCACCAAGACAAATGCAAACTGAACACTGAGGCTTTGGGGACCAAGGTACAAATAAAAGAATAATTAGCACACTTCCGATTGCTCTTTCCTGCTGGGATCAAGAGGCACAGACACGAAGCGCCTGCATCATGCACAGGCCACACTCCGCACTAGATGCAGGAACCACGAGTGAGCAGAGCACCCGGATGTTTGTAAGTCAAGTCAGAGCAGCCAGAGAGAGCTGGGACCAAATCTCACCTGCTTAACATTTCCAGGCATGTCTCTCTCTGCGGTTATTGTCTTATCAAAGATTTATATCTGTCTCATAAGCATCGTTCAATCCTTGGTCTCTCGTGAGGTCTAAAGCCAAGAATTGACATTTCTTCAATGTAAATAGGAAATATTACAGAATGAATTGAGAACAGTTTTTTTTGTTTTTTTTTTTTTAAATTGCTTTCTTGACTTTTAACCCTGCAGTCTTGCCGACTGTTTAATTCTACTTGCAGTGGCTCAGGAACAAGCCTGAGGTTTCTGTCATGTGACACCGGGGTTTCAAGGCAGACCATCCACCTCTCCAAAGAGTAGCTCAGGTCTGCTGGTCCAAGTCACGACATGAACCCCAATGTTCCAAGAGGGCGGGAGGTTGGGCCTGGAGGGAGGCACGTGGCCATGGGCATGTGCGTGGCCCAGCCTGGGAATGAATCTCATTCATGAATTGAAGAATCGAGCCGGGCACTTGGAAGGCCTTCCCCAGGGAAACCAGGTTAGTGACAGGAGTTTGTCTGTGGGCGGGTTCCCAGGCGCATATCAAACCCATGATGTCTTCAAGACAGTGCTGTGCAACTGCTTTTCACCTTTTATCGAACAGCTGCTCTGTGCCTTTTATAAACATCGTCTCTTCTGGTGCTCACAGCTGCGTGGGGCTGGTCCGAGGAGTCCCCCGTCGCGAGGCAAACGCAAAACATCTGGAGGCCAAGGGTAATCCTGAAGCCACACAGCCCCACGGTCACCTTGACTGTGGTCCTAGGAGTCAGTCCTGGGGAACAAAGGCCCACCTGTGCCCACCGAGAGCCTGGCCACGGGAGGCAGGGATTGAGGGTAGAGTGTATGCGTGTGTGTGTGTGTGTGTGTGTATGCATGCACCCATGTGTGCGCACGCACAAGCATGCGGGCTCTGGTGAGGAGCAAGCTGAGAGGAGAGGGGACTGTAGGGTGTGATGGGGGAGACGTGAGGGCCGCTCCCCTGCCCCTTCTCCTGCCTCTCCTTGTCTCCATGCCCCCTGGTCTCCTCCTTCCCCTCCCCTCACTGCTTCTCCGTCCCTCAGCTGCCACCTCTGTTCTGGGCCAACCCCCGGGGGCTGTGAAGGGGGTGGGGAGGGCCTCCCTGGCACTGTCTGTCAGCTGCTGGACCAGCCCCGAGACTCATCATCCTTTCCAGCTCAGGGTAGGGGCTCCCTTCTTCACTGAGGCCCAAGCCTGGCGTGCCTGGCTTCTAGAAACTCACAGATGAAGCAGGTAAACTGTGGTGTGTGCGCACGTGTGTAAGCATGTATGTGCACATGTGTGTATACACGTGTGTGTGCCTGTGTGTGTTGGTGTTTATGTGCCTGTGTGTGCTTGTCCCCAAGTGTGCCTGTGTGTGTAAGCATGTATGTGCACGCGTGTGTGCATGTGTGTGTGTGTGCAGTGGGCACAATTGGCTTCCTAACAGACGAGCTCACCTACGTTACCTCAAACATGGAGTTGGCCTGGATTTAGAGCATCATTCATATGGCAGACATTCCATTTACACACCCGTTTGCAGAGATGTACAAAGGGAAAGGCACCTACAGGCAGGAGAAGTGAGGAAATATGTTGGTTTCTTTGCTTTCCTGAGGACTTTCCCCTTTCCTATTCAGGCTCCACTTCCTGGAAGCATTGCGGTATTCAGGTTTCTATTTCTCCCGGAAGGAGACAACACTGCTGGGATCGCCTCCTACCTCCCTGCCTGGCCCCCGTGGGCCTCCCATTGAGCCTCCTGGCCTGGCGCACTGCCGGGTGCAGAGCAGAAGCTCAGAACACAGTCAGGGGAACAGCGAGCATTCACCCCTCCTGCCCTGGCCTTGCCCTCTGCCCTCTCCGCCCACCCCCTTCTGTCCCCCCAGCTCTGGGACAGTGACTATATTTTCTGCTTTGCTTCCTTCCTCCCCACTCCCAGCTCCTCCTTGACAGAGCCAGGAAGCACAGTGAGTGTGTGGGGGATGCGGTGGGCAGCGGACCCTTTGGCCCTGCTCGGGGTCCAGCACATTTTAAGGCCCCAGCTGCGTGCTCCCAGGGCTGCTGACAGGAGGGGCTATTTCTGGGTCGGAGGAGAGCTACCGAGGCCGACTGGGAGGGTATTTATAGAGCCAACCTTGGAGAACAGGGATGCTCATATCCCTGGAACCTTCCCTCGTTTAGAAGTTTCTAAAGATAGAGCTGTGTGGCATCTGGTATGAGACAAGGTCCACTAATTCCTTTGAAATTCACCAAGAACATTCTCCTAATAAATGCTGACCAGTTTTCTCGGTGCTGACTTCTTCCTCTCCCTCAGCACCCTCCTCCATCCTGCTTCTTGGCTGTCCCAGGTGGATAACCGTCCACTGCTGGGGAAACTGAGAGAGCAAGCAGTAAAAAAGCAAACTGCTTAAGATAACGTGATATCTCTGTGATGCTGCCCAACGAAGAGCTGGTCTCAGCGGGGGGGGGGGGGGGGGGGCGGGGGAAGAAAGGGGACGGCAACCCATGTTTTTCGTCATTTGCGAGCACTGTGCCAGGTGACACAGGCAGGATGGCGTTTCATCCTTGCACGGTCTCTGTGAAGTCAGTGTTAGAACACCTGTTTTGCAGATGAAGAAACTAAGGCCTAGGGACTTGCCTAAAATTGGTCCAAACTGGTGAATTCCTTCCTTCCTTCCTTCAGATGAAGAAACTAAGGCCTAGGGACTTGCCTAAAATTGGTCCAAACTGGTGAAGTCGAGATGCTACTCACCCACCTCAGCCTAGGAAACCGGGGAGGGAGCCAGGAGAATAGTGGCACTGGTCTCCAAATTTCAGATGTGCATTTAGAACCACGACCCTCAAGGCTAGTGGGTTTTAAGGCTGTACTTGGTGACTACTCTTCCCTCTCAT